ACAGAGGAATAACACCTGAGTCCTCAGGAATGGCAACGCATGGGGGTATCATGGACGAAACAGTATACTCTGTTATGTCCATGGTACTGCTCATGTCTATAGGCGACGGTTATCACTTTCCATCAGGTGGGCCGTCAGCTTGTTTGCCATTCTAAGTTGTATAAAAAAAAATATGTATACATACACAGTAGATTAATCTATGCCTCCCGGTAAATAGTCTATGGTAATATGTACCTGATGTGTGCTATATATTATTTATTTTTAATTTCAAGCTTTTCAATTACATAAACCACGCTATGTTGCATGTTAGTAAATCAAATAGTTCATTTTGTATCATTATCAAATGGAATAGCGCTGTACATAATTTATCTATACCTACATAATAATTGTTTCATAATATAATTGAAAGGGGGGAGAAGGGATTGTTAGTAATGGGGATTAGTAGCCCCATTGCTAACAATATACTCTGTCAGGTCGACCTCCTCGTGGTTCCCACTAGAAACCATCGTGATTGATTTATTGTTAGATTCGTCACGATGGGCTAACTCACCTGCTTCATCCTCATCTATCATCTCTCACTGGTGCCCCGCCAGTCTATACCGATGGCACAGGCGAGGTTACCATTCCATTATCATCCATTGAAAAAAAAAAATATAATTGAAAATGGCCGTGTAGTCTTTGCATAAAATAACTATCCCCTTCCTTTCCCATGGGTTTCATAAGAGGCGAATAAAGGAAATTAATAGCCAAAGGAGGGGCAGCAGCGTTTCTTTTAAAACATCAGCAAAGCCTGTCTGCGGTAGCCAACCCGCTTACCAAACGTGGCCAAACTACAGCAAACCCCTTAAGGGGAAGGCCTATATTCAGCAGTGGACAGTCAACGGTTGTATAATTATCATCATCATAATCGAGAAATTCTTAAGCAGTTAATCTAGTTTTTATTGATTTATTTTTTACATTATCTATGACCGTATCTTGTGGTACTCTATGCCTTCTCGGTTTTTCGCGCCCAAACGGTGCTATTTTTAATCTATACGTACAGAGTTTCATTGCGTTTGTAAAATAAAAAAAGAATGTTTACAACCACAGACACTAATATAACGTATTAGGTACTGACTGTATTCTGTGATGGGGTAGCCAGAGGCATTTGTTTGTTATATAACAATTGCGGTGAACATAAGTAGCTTGTAATCCTTTAAATAACTATTTTTATTTAATTTTTTTTATGTATATTTGTCTTATTTATACCTTTAATAAATTTTACAGAACATTCCTTAAATAAATATGTTGAACGTTATCTATTAAAAAAAAAATATTAAAAATCAAATAGCAAATAAAAAATCCGCCCATTATTTATAAAGATATTACGTGATATGCCAAAAATTTTAATTATTTTAAACTAGATAGTCGATTTTTTTAGAATTATTTTGTTTAATTCTGCTTCCGGAAATATCGAAAATGGGTGATCCATTTCTATATAGTAAGCCAGGAAGCTGGTTTGACTCTTAACTGCCTGATGTTTCTCCCAACACTAAATCAGCATGTGCAAAATATATTACGAAGGCTGTTAAAAATAAACACCAGTGCGAGTGATACTTAAATATTTAATTTTCTTCATGAACGGAAACTTCCAACATTTTATACGACGAGGCGACAGTAAATATTCTGTGAACACACTTTATCTGCCTCATGAGATGAGCGACCGCGGTCACATGCAGTGATACATAAAACTAAGAAACTACCCGTGCTATACTAGCTGTTTCTCGCGGTTTTTATTATTTATATCAGACTTTATATGTTATATATGCTGTATTACACTGTCAAACGTGAATATAGGATCTTACATATTTTCATTCCGTGACCTAGAATAGAATAGAATATAATACTTTATTTGCTTTGAATAGGCGATACATAGTTCTTATTTAATAAGTAGACAGTTTCATAGTCAGCTAAAACTATGCATGTTTATCAGCATAGATAAACATGCATAGTTTTTTTTTTAAAGTTGCTAATTACTTTTACAATAAATAAACAAATTTGCCATAAACAACTTCGTATATACCATGTCATATTAATTATGAAATAATTAAAAATAATTATATTATATAGACTACAATAGCATTGACAACACACAACCTAATGATCTCACATCAATAAAATCATTCAGAATGTAGAAACATTGGTCAATAAGCCATTTTTAAGGTCGTTTCAAAATGAGTGTAAGGTAGTTCACTTCTATTTTTGGGAATTTTATTATACACTTTTATCAACAGAAAATGACAATTCCTTTTAAATAAAGTGCCAGTTTGTTTTGAAAATAATAATTTAGTTAGATCTCTTGACAAATGTAATTGGCTTTCACAGCATTTTTCAAATATATCTGGATTATTTTTTACAAAAATCCCTACCTCAAATATGTACATGGAACAGAGTATTAATAATTTTAATATTTTTATTTTTTGTTTATACTTTTTAGGAACAGGTGCATTCTTTGAACATTGTATCACCTATTTATTAATATATAAAAATTCCGTGCCGCGATGTTTGCTATTAAATTTATCTTTTTTGTTTTTATTTATTTATTAAATTTATCTTTTGTATTTATATTTGTATCTTATTAATTTTCTGTTATGCCTTAACCAGATACAATTTTAATTATTTCTCTCCATCCTAAGGTTAGCGATAAGGAAAGGATTTGTTAGTAACGGATTCTATAATGAAGTATATGTAATTAAATTTAGTAATTAATTATTCATATTGTTTGTGTACATATTGTTAATCTTTATAATCTGTATCTTTCATTGAAGGGAACAATAAAGAGTTTTCATTCATTCATTCATTTGTTGACGTAAATCTCGGAAACAGCTTAACCAATTTTAATTAAATTCTGTAAATCTGTATTGTTTGCATTAACTTAAGAGATAGGATGGTTTTTATCTCGAAGTGATCTTTAGGGAGCAGAACATTTACTGGGTCAGTTAGAAGATTTATTTCTGTGGCAACAGCTTGGCTATAATTTTTAGAAATGTTGTTTGAATATCTGTATGTTTGTTTCGATATTACGCAAAAACTACTACATTAAATTAATTATGATTTTCACATTTGGGTTCCTGTAGTGTAATATAATTTTAATACGCCATATAGAATTGGTCTATTGTTTTCTCATTGTGATTATTTCTTGTAATTGTTTATATTTATAATAAGTTAACTATTGTAATTTTTTTAAGAAAACAGTAAAGAGTATCTATCTATCCATTTCATTAGTTTTCCTATTTTTGAAATATAGGCGTACGAAGTAGGGGGCGAAAAGCAAACAATTAATAAAAAAGTAATGTTGCCATTTTTTGGATACAAAAGAAGACAGTGAATACAATTTACTTATTTTTTTTTCTTTGTGTTTATACATTCATTTTTAATATAGATATTAGGTTATAATAAAAATGTACACAGGCGGACTTATTGCTTAAAGGTATTTCTTCAAGTCAATCTTGAGAACCCGAAAAGAGAAAGTATCTATAGGGTTTGTATATAAAGCACAACATATACTCGTATGGTGCAGGATAATACAATATATATTATATAAACTTAGAATAAATATATATATATATATATATATATATATATATATATATATATATATATATATATATATATATATATATATATATATATATATATATATATATATAACTCAATTATTAATTGTATTGTAATGTTTGTCTGTTTAAACTTTGAAAGCATGAACGGTTTACGCCATTCTTGTATCATTTGGGAGAAAATTCCAAAGTCTTATACTCGTATGTACGATTACTCTTTATATATCACTAAAGCTTAACTGCGGTTGCCAACTTTATTGCCAAAATCCCCAAGGGGGAGACCTATGTTCACTAGTGGACAGTTAACGGCTGAGATGATGATGATATAGGACTAGCTTAGCGATTCATTTAATGAAAGAGAAGTTATAATTTTCGTTTTATTTATTTAAAGTAAACAAATAAATTCATCATTTATTTGTGTAATCTACAATGTAACTTTGGAAAATTCTATTTATAATTATTATACATATTTATATTTCTATTGCTAATTCGTGCGGCACTTTCCTGTTTTTTTTTTTTATTTTTATTTTTAATAAAAATATCTTAGAAATTATAATACGCTATTAAGTTTGGAATGAAATTAATTTACAGCAATATTAATTTCGGGATACTTTTAGATTAAAATACAAAATAAGGATAATTTTGATTGGAAAATTTTTGTTAAAATATGAAAATATATTTGAAAAATTAAATTTTAAAGGTAAAGTAATATTTAAAGCAGGATGTAAATTTTTATAGGTGTCTGAGAGGTACTAATATACCCAGTCAGGGAAAATGGATTGTTAGTAATGGATTCTAACGGCCTTATTGTTAACAATATACCCTATCAGGTAGACCTCCACGGGGTTTCTCCTCGAAGCTATCGTGGTTAAATCTTGTCGAATTCTTCACGATAGGCTAACAGAGCTGTTTTCATCCTTACTTATCATCTAACTAATGCCTCTCTCACCAATTTATTTATTTATTTTATTTAATTCTTTATTGTACACACCAGTTATTTATAAAATACAGATAGAAGTACTCAAATGTACAAAGGCGAGCTTAACTCTAAAAGAGTTCTCTTCCAGCAACACCCAAAGTGTAAAGAAGCATCAATGTCAGCGGGTAGAGCGGTGTACAATATTGTGACAATTTTTAAACAATGAAACTAGACAAAATTAAATGCTTACTTGTCTATATTTTGCCCATAATCAGTCCACATCATAATCATCACAATAGAAAAAATTGTGGGCAATTGTCAAAATTAAACAATTGTCAATCCTCACGACATATATTTAAAGAGCAGGCAGATAAAACAGACAACTATTTGTGTTATTTTGATTATTATTAATTTGTATTATATATATATATATATATCTGTCGTTTAGTTGTTTATTCGTATGTACATATGTAAATTCAACTTACGTGGTTAGTATATCGTAGACTGTGTATCGCGCTAAGTACGAGTAGTGATGCAGTTTACGTATGCTCTGTGCTAGAAGGAGGAATCTTCGATCCGCTGACACCGAGAACGAGGCCGGTTCTAGCACTCTCTGCAAAGAAAATAGGATTACCTTAATAATATAATAAAATTGTAACTAGACTAATCAAAATTTGTATGAAAGGTCTTAATGAGGGTAAAAACAATATTTTGTTTCAGAAATTTTGTCACTCTATTGAACAGACACGTTCCAAAATCATGCAAAAACTTGAACACAGTTTTACAAATATGTTCCTGAAGATTTAATTTAAAATCTAGTGTACGTTTTATGGTGATACGTCATCTAAAAGACAATTGGAAAACATTTTTTCATTGGTTTTCTTGCTTCTGAAAACCATGCCTATGAAGTAGCGAACAAAAAACTAGTATAAAATGCAACGATGAAAGGAAACGATGCGGATGGAAATCTAGTAATAATATATACAAAATATATTAAGATATATTCTTATAGTGATAATATATCATATATATCGAAGGGAAACTTTGTATTAAATGTATCTGTTTCAATACCTTTGGCATACTCGTGTCTCTGCTGCAAAGAAGTTGTGCTCGCAAGGCTATGTTTTGGTTTGAAGGGTGGGAAATAGCAATACAATTACAGAGTATACGGAAACATACTATCTTAATCCTCAGGAAAGAATACCTGAATGATTCTTTTTTAATGGATAGAAATGGAATTCAAATCCCGCCTTGCGAAACCGAAGCGAGTCGCTAGTCTGAAATAACTCAGCAAATATTTTAATTGTGAAGGGGAAGGGATTGTAGATAGATAGTGAAGTAATGACGGACTACCAGTCACATTACCAACAATATACACTGTCAGGTCGACTCCCACGTGGTACCCCCTGGAAACCATCGTACTGAATTCCAGGTGCATTCATTACGATGGACTAACGGACTTGCCTTTTCATTCTCACCTATCATTCCTCACTAGTGCTTCGCTAGCGGATACTATTAACATAAGCGGGGTTACCATTCCATTATCAACCATTAAAAAAATACTTTATTTGTCATACCAGTGTAACATAATGATTATTTCATTTTGCATGAAATCAGAATTGTTTCAGATTTATTTAGTCATTTATTTTATTTATTTTTATTTTTTGTATATAAAAAATTATATACATATAATTATATTAAAAAAGGATGTACAACAGGCAAGCTTAACTCTGTAAGAGTTCTCTTCCAGCAAACACTGAGTGGAAAGCAGCATTAGTTACCAACGGGCAGTGTGCGTACAATAAGAGGAAGAAAGTAATTGTTTCTATTAAGAAATAATAAATATGTTTTCAGATCGTTATCGAGACGGCATTTATTTTATTATCATTAATTATCTGGCTTTGTTTATGTAATGTCATACAGTAATACAAGTTTCGCGTGTTAGCTAGTATGGAACACATTTGTACGTAATATAAATCTATTTCCTATAAAAATACAGTTGCTTTAACAAAACCGTATAAAGAGCCCTTAGGGTGGACTCGACCAAACTTTAATTTATACACGAATACCGCCGATAGTCTATTCCTTGATCTTAATCTCGAATAAATCAAAAATCATTTTTCCATGCAATCTAACGTATAACTATACTTGGAATAACTATTCGTGACTAGTAAAGTAAACGGTGACCGAAAATGATATCCGACAAATTAACGTTGTCCTACAAGGAGACGACATAAAAGCTTATGTTATATCAACTTACTTTTGTTGTATTGTAGAGAGTGAAAAAAAATTGCTGTTATTTTGTCTTTGTCAACTGAAAACCACGTGGTATATCTACATTTATTGCAATTTATTAGTTATTGTTGTGTAAAAAAATTCGAAATCAGTTCATAAGAGACAGAGTTCTAAATCAACAAACATACAAAAAAAGCAAAAGATTTGTGAACCTCCTCCTTCTTTGGAAGCTGTAACATTTCCTTGTGTTTGCTCTTTGACACGTGGATTTGGAATCGCATTAGATTGTGTCAGGCTGGCGTATAATGAATTCAGCTGCTGAATATTCAAATCGGACGAACGACCGAGCCGAGTGTACAGTGTAATCCTTTGTGCATACAAACACAATCATACAAGCGCAAACGGAACATTATTTATTACTTGCCTGTTGCAACTCAACTGCTGTTTATTATTATATGTGCTTTCTATGACACAGGAATCCTACTGTAATACTAAAATTATTTATAACTTAAATTTACATCAAGCTCGCGCACACACACGCTTACACATGTACACACACACATATGCACGCGCACACACACGCTTACACATGAACACACACACATACGCACGCTCACGCACACGTACAGGCACTCACACAATACACACATAACTCCCAGACCTAAATTACAATAAATTATCTCTTTCAATAAATTATATTTATTACAGCGAAAGAGGTTTGTTTGAATCGAATCACGTGGCGTTCCATTGTTTCTGCCTACCCTAATGGGAGACAGGCGTGACAGATATGTATGTATGTATGTATATTTATTTCATTGAATACACATACTATATTACAAGTACATAGTAAGTAAACCTGCGGAGTGAGGCCCTGGTGACCTGTAATACAGGTATTCTTATACCTATCTCAGGCACCAGTCTCTCACAATTATATTTAATATAATTACTTTAATATAAGCATATCTCATTGTATTTCACTGTGAATTGTGAAGAGAAAATAAATCGATTATAATTACTAGCTCTATCCCGCGCCTTTGAATGAATGAATGAATGAATGAGTATACTTTATTTGCATTATACAATATAGGAAATAAACAAGACAATTTACAAACATAACGATACAATTGTATAATTTGCTCGAGTGAATCTGTATATAAAGTATCTATGGTCAAAGTCAGAATATAAGCTACCCGGGTACCAAATTTTATTCAAATCCATTTAGTAGTTTTTGCGCCAAACAGTTCCAAATTTAAACATTCATCTCAACATACTTCTTATCTTAGTGAGTATTTTTTATTATTGTTTTTATTATTAGAGAGGCAAACGAACAGACGGTCCGCCTGATGGAAAGCGGCTACCGTCGCTAATAAACACCTACAACACGAATCTCGTGTATCTCGAATATTATTATTTTATAAAGCAACATATGTATACTGATTCTTTTTTGAAATGTCTACAATAAAGATCAGGTATATAAGTAAATGCGTTAAGTCAAGCCTCGATCGTGAATTTTAACATTATTTAAATTTATTGTTTTTTTGTACAACAAAAAATATATAGTCATTTATGTATACCTTGTCTAGGTAATAAAATTGTTCAGAAATCAAAGGGTACTATGAATTTTATGGCCATTATATCAATGTCGAAGTTATTTTTATAGTGCGATTTATTATATAACTCCATTCAATATAAGATCCAATATTCCTTGAGTTTAGTATGGCTATTAGAATTCTATCGTCATTCAATTATGTTCCAAAATTCTACATTCCCGCCGCGGTCTGAATATCTCGTCTCAGCCGAGGACGTTCCGATAGTTCGAATTTGACCAATTGCCGGTACGTTCGCGTAATACATATTATTATACTAGGTTTTGCCTGCGACTACGTCCGCGTCGTTACGCGATATTGTTCATTATTCCCGATGAGTATCTTTTTTTCTTGACTTTAATTTTTATCCCGATATAGTTTATATATCGAATCTCACGGACGAAGCCCCGATATACAAACAGTTAATTTATAATTTCACTATTTTTATTTCAAAACAAACAATACGTTGCCATTGCTGAGTCCTCAGGAATGGCAACGCGTGAAATATACTCTATTATGTCCATGGTACTGCTCCACCACCATTTTCCATCAGGTGGGCCGTCAGATTGTTTGCCATTCTAAGTTGCATAAAAAAAATAAAAAAAGTATTTCTTATCAAAGTATATTTGTATAAGCACAAAATTTAATAATGATTCCTACACTAGGCTGAGTCTATCCTGTAGGAAACGGGAATCGTATTGCCAAATACATGTTTAAAAAAATTAACACAAACTTTCTAGTAATATAAATAATACATTAAAATATATCGACCGTTGGCGAATTGTGTCATAAATATATTAGTAAGCTTAAAAATATGATATAATTTAAGATTGTGCTTCATAAAAAAAAATTAAATTCAAATTTTTATTTTGCTAAAACCAATAATTTTGAATTTAAAGCTAAACTACTGAGCCGATTTTATAAAATTTGTATAAGACCAAACTATAAATATATCCTTTCTTATAGAATGTTCCAAAACGCTTTTTAACTGACAGAGTTATGAGGTTTGTTACCCCATATAAAAAAAATAACCTAACTGAGAACCTACTACTTTTTGAAATCGATTGAAACTACTTTCCATCAGGTCGGTCGTTAAAAAGATTCCTCGCTATTCCAAATTACACAGAAAAATATAATTTAAAATCTCACGAACATTTTTGTAAAACAAATTAATCATAATAACAGCTCCTTTAGAAAATTAGCGCCGTCGGACAAAACAAAACAGTTAATACTTTGCAAAGGAAATTATACCTAAACTTCAGTAATTACAGTGGAATATTGCTGAACCACAATAAATGTAAGCCATTATAATTTTGGTAATTAGCGTAAGGAAACAGTTGGAATACACAACGTTTTCACGTTTCATTAATCATTGTTATTCAAAATGTACACTTATACCTACTTGTATTTAGGAAACATTTTGAATTAACCTTACAGTTATGTTACTATAGGTGCATGTTTTATATATAATCTTTTACGGCTCTAGAGACTCGTAAAAATCCTTTTAATTTTCTTCGTCAAAAATATTGGCAGAATTAAATAATATTCAAAGAATTCTTATTTCAAAATTTTAAAGCTTATTGCCTCTTTTGTACGCATAGATTTCAGAAGTAGGAAAACTAATGGAATAGCCCACTTCTAGAAGGAATATCAAGATAAAATATACACCAGATTTTAAGATAGATCTTTAGAAATACAACTTTGTAAACTGCATCCAATTCGGTGCAATCGTTTTTGCATGATGACGAAACAAACATAAAGGCACAAACATATACATTACTCACTATCAGGTGAGGCATATACTCGTTCACCTCTATGTTAAAAAAAATTAATACGTAAAACAAATAAAAAAATGACAAGGTATAATTAAAATAAAACTAACAAATAAATAAACTAGTTTAAAATTAATTATTACATATTCAGCTGACATATGCAGCTCAAAATGTTAGGACACTTGATACGACACGACGAACTTATGAACATTATAATAGAAGGTAAGATAGAAGGAAGAAGGGGGAGAGGGAGACCGAGACATAGTTACATCAGGCAGATCAAGGAAGGAGTTGGTATCGTGTCGTATCAAGAGGTGAAGAGACTCGCTGAAAATCGTAGTGAGTGGCAAGAGCTCCACCGACAAGAGCGCAGCTCTTAAATATATAGGGATATATATATAGGAAAGAAAGGAATATACCCTGTCAGGTCTACCTCCACGTGGTCTCCTTCTCCTCTGATACCATCGTGCTGAATTCCAGATATATTCATCATGTTGGACTAACTGGCCTGTCTTTTCATCCTCAACTATCATCTATCACTGGTACCCCGCTAAAGTATACCGTTAGCGCAGGCGGAGTTACAATTCTATTATCATCCGTTAAAAAACATGTTTTATAACGTTGGGTAGATTTTTAGTTACATATAAATTAACCATTTTTAAATTACAACCTGCGTATTCGTATATTTTCATATGGCTACACTGAAACCATATAGATAAGAAAAGGCATTATAAATATTGATAGCGTCTTTGGCAGCATCGAAGAAATTGATGTCCAGCCAACAAGTGGGTAAACAATTGAGGGGGATATACTCGTAAGTGCTTTTTGATATCGCGTGACAAAGTATTGTGACGAAAATATATTCGATTCTTTAATGTTTGATTGTTTTGTGATATCTGTATGATTGACATAGACAAAGGAAAACTAGTAATTCATGAATGGAGTAAACTACCTTAGATAAAGGATAAATAATAAAAGCAAGGATGAAGAAAGGGGCAAAAGGAAAATATATAAAATAAAAATAAAAAAGGAATAAAAATAAAGAAAAGAAATAAAAAAATGATAAAAATTAGGAAATAATTAATTAGTATTTTATTTATTTATTATATTTTTAACAATTTTTAAAATTATTTACATATTTTATTTAAATTTCCTTTTTTATTTATTATTTGCAATTATTATAGTAACTTCCATTTTGGTCTCGTATCAATTGTGTCATCATTGGAGTTGTTATTTTGCGGAGAAAAATCTTAAATAATTTTAGTACAATTATATACAGAAAATATCTATTTTTACGCCAGGTCCCTTCTGGTTTAGATAGGAGAATAGAGTTACAATTGCATCTCTTGGTACATCCATTTTTATACATATGTTTCAAAGACTTATTCCAAAATTAATAATAATTATTAGATTTTTACACTCATTAGCTAGTGTAGATGCTCTGCGTAATATACTCGTATCGTAATAAAAAATGTCTTTACGTATTTTGAAGACGTATTAAAAAAAATATGGAATAATTTCATCTGTGATTGACTTAACAAAAATAAAGAATTAAAAAATAATACTCGTAGAATCATGCAACTTATATAATAACATAAAACAAAATAGGTTCATTTAATTCCCATTTAATTAATTATAAAGAAATATTGAATAATATTAGATAAAATGGATGGACTGTGTGAAAGACGATATGGTTAGACTAGTGAGATGACAGCAAACAGAAATGAATGGTAGAAGAAAACATATTACGCCAACTCTAAATAGATATAGAAAAAGCAGGAAGAAGAATTACTTATAATTCGAATAAGAGACGAAAAATTAACAATCCACATTGAATGACAATACATTAGATCCAATTCACTACAATATAGATGCAAAATTGTCTTTCAATTAATTTGTACGAGGGCTGCATTCTGGGAAATACGTTATCAGTCCGTTAAACTGGTTAGGGGCGTTAAAGGAATTCCTGATTGGGATCGTGCTCGTGAAATTTGATGGTCCTAGTGCGAGATAGCCTCGTATGTAGTAGTTGCTTTAATTTAATTCAATTGTCTTTAGTTACTTCATTTCTTTTATTATATTTAATGTGATTGTCACAAAGGAAATATCGGATTAATTTCAATATGGCACACACGTAAATAATCTATACTCTAACAATAAAACAATTTTTATAAAGATTACAGTGTGAAAAAGAAAGAGAGAGATTGATTTAGTAATGGATTTTCTAAATAAAAAAATAAAACATTATCTCGGTACTACTTTGTGTAATATTTTAAAATAAAGACTTTCGTAGTCTCTAATTTTAGTGGCACATAATCTGTAATTAAGTCACATTTTCTTTTTATTTTAATAAATTCATTATGATAGATAAAGATCACTTAAATTATATTTATGTAACTTTACTTATATAATTAAATTGAACAAAAAGATGTCTGTATATGAGAGATATTTAAGAAAAAATTGAGGGAACTTAATAAGAGAGCAATACAAGTCAAAATAAACATTTTTCAGTTATTTTGTCTATCTATATGTTTTTTCCAGTATTACACAAAAACTATTGCACCAAATTAAATGAGATTTTTACAACTAACTTTCTGAAGGTAAAATTAAAATCTGATCTATGTTTTATCTTAATACGCCATCTAGAAATTATTTATTTTTTTAATTAAAAGAAATAAACTTACAAATGTTGTGTTCGGCATGAGCGTCTTTGATGTCTGATTAGCTGCAAACATAAGGCTGATACCGCCAGATGCGTCTCTGTATACGAACTCGTCACCTGTGAACAAAAAGTAATTCATTACATTTACTTTATTACTGCCCCTCGGACGTATAAACAGACATGAAATTGAATTCGGAACGGAATATAGAATAAAAAAAAAAGAAAAAAGAATTATTTGAATAAAACAATTTTTTTCTTATAAATTAAAATCTAAAACGGATACTTTCAAAAACAAAATTAATTATGAAACACACATCTTTTTCTATTTTTTTCTCAATTACGAGTAATAAGGTTTACTTCCAAAACCTTATCAATTAGAAAAAGTATTTTTTAATTAAAAATTAAACTAGTGAAACGATTTTGATAAAATATAAGTAAACAATAAGTAAGCACATCCTGTCAAGTGAAAAAAATTCAAATCTGTTTCTAACGAACGGAGTTATGGGAGTAAAAAATATAAAAAAAAACATAACCAAATTGTAAACCTCCTTTTTGAAATCTTTAAAAAAATTTTGCCACATCAATAATGATAAAATTAATAATGGCTAATAATATTAGGGAGATTACTAGCAAATAGATGAAGTATCTATCGAATAATCTAATGTATCTATTTTAAAAACAGAATGGCAAACAAGCCGATGGCCCACCTGATAGAAAGTGGTAACCGTCTCCTATAGACATGAGCAGTACCATATACGTATACATAACAGACATAACAGAGTATATTGGTTCGCCCACGATACCCCTAGTTTCTTTAATGGTATTTATTTATTTTTTAATTTAATTATTGACTAATAATGAGAACAAAACATGTATGAGCAAATATAATCACCGAGTTAGACCAGGAAACTGGAGCCATCTAATAAAATATTCAATGCAATCAATGAAAGAGGTTTAAGTAGGTTTGTGGAGCAATCTGTCTGATGCATAAGTTTCAATAGGGTTGTTAATTGTACATTTAAAATATATTTTTAAGAGAAATTAACATCGGTGCGTAGATTTATATTTGTTTCAAAACCTTTTATACCCATTTTAGACGTTTGTTATCAAAGGTTTCAACAATAATTTTTTTCCATTATTTTGGAAATGTGACCAGGATATATAATATTGTATTGGGTTGACTGGAAGAGATCTTTGTCAGAGATAAGTCCACCTTTGCTCACAACATTTATAAATACATTATTTTATATGTAACTTACAAGTGCAATAAAGAATATATATAACAATTGACTGGGATAAATTTGGCCTATGTTCTTCTCTATCCTAAATAGTACATATACATGTACATATGTATATCAAAGTTCATAACAATTGGTAGTACAGTTAAGGCGATAATGTGTAACAAACAAACTCATTATCACATTTATAATATTGGTAAGGATATAACTTATTATTAGAGAAGAGATTTAATTCCAGTAGAGTGACAGTAACATGGACAAAAAAATATATATTTCATTATGTATTTTTTCGCCCATGGCAATAGAATACAATGACGATGATGACGAACAATACTAAGCTAAATCCAGAACTTTTTATTATATGATTGCTCAATCATTTATATAAAAATATGTACACGAAAATAACTTGGTACTTTCCTGCACCTCCTTTTCCTTGATATCTTCCTTAACTTTCCCTAGGCTCTGAAACCCGATTGACTGTGCTTCTGCCGGGGTGTTAATTTGCCATCTCCTATTCTTAGAAGGGGATAAATCCTCAAATTTTATTTAAAAATATATTTTGGACTTCTCAGATAATTTTGAAGATAAAATCCGTATGTGACAACCCTGCAATCACCCAATACATTACCGAACGCAATGTATCCAATTGTTATTACGATATAAAACTTCTTCGAAGAATTCTTTAACGCCCAAGCCTCTTATTTTAGCAAAGTTTCGTTATTTAGAGCTCTTGATTTATAAAATAAATTGTTTGTTTGTCGGAACTAAACAAATATATACACTTTTTTTATAACACAGGGGATAAAGAAGCATCCAGATTACCTGATGGTAAGTGACTACCGCCGCCCATGATCACCCACAACACCAATGGCATTGCAGGTGTGCTGCCGGCCTTTTAAAAAGGAATATACTCTTTTCTTGAAGGTTATGATTATATTGTACATTAGTACTGGCTATGGAACATAGTGTATCCAACAATAACAAGTACATAATGTATCCTATGTATTAAATTAGGATGTACCAAATAGGATATGCCAGTGTACCAAAACTTATTAGAATCTGTTCAGTTGTTTTTGCGTGAAAGAGTAACAAAAATTCATCGATCCATCAAACCATTCACTTGTTATAATATTAATAAAATTATATAAGAATCATAATATAATATACCTTCTGAACCTACGCATGAGGGGGGGGGGGGGAGAAGGATTGTTAGTAAGGGGCATATTTGTTAGTAATTAATCATGATGATTTCTCCTGGAAACCATTATAATTAATTACTATCAAATTCGTTGCGATGGGCCACAGACCTGTCTTCAGCCTCATTATCATCCCTCACTGGTGCCCCGCCAGTGTATATCGATAGCACAGGCAGGGTTACCATTTTATTATTATTTATAAAAAAAAAACTTACGTTACACTCATGGTAAGCACAGTATAAGTTTATGGTTGTAACATTTAATATTTATTTTTTACGATACCGACTTGGAAAATGAATGATGACTTCGCTAACACGGTCCAAAGTAGTTTATTATCACCCAGGGGAGAAAAAATATAAAGAACCATCATTTCATAAACTTTAACTTTTCTCCCCATAAAAGTAACTTTAATCGTCAATACACACGCACCGATAAACAATAAGATGTCTCATATATAAACACCAGAGGGAGATTTTGTACAAAAGTCAATTGCTTGGGCAGACAGAGGTGCCATTCGTATCTCTACCGTGAAGCAGTCGTGTTTGCATTGCTGTGTTTCGGTTTGAAGGGTGGGATATGGCAGTGAATTTACAGGGTACAGAGGAATAACGCCTGAGTCCTCAGGAATGGCACCGCATGGGAGTTATAAAATTTTTAAAATATTAAATGTAAGTTATACAAAGTTCCATTAAGTGCTGACAGTCACGATTATTGACACTATGCAATTATGTGGCAAAAGAAAAATGTAGACCAAGTAGATAGAAAAGTAGACCAAGGAGATACTTGGACTACATCTCCTTTTCAAATTACTTCAAAAAGAAGCAGGTTCTCAATTCAGTTGTATTTTTTTTATATACGTTACCTGATAATTCTATCAGTTGTGGGTAAATCAATTTGGAAAATTCTTTTTTATCTAAAAGGATCACTTATAGGTTCAGTAGTTTAGTTTTTAAATCCAAACAACTGATTTTGCCATAATAGAAATCGCTTTTATTGTGGAACAATATCTTGATGATTTAAAAATCAATTCAAAACAATAATTTTATACTGGTTATTCGATTAGAATTATTTTGTTTAATTCCGCTACCATTAGTATGTGTGTGACTGCCAACACTAGAAGACTGACCACTACTATTACTACTAGAAGTTTATTCACGCACGTTTTGCGACAAATGTTTCACCTCTAAACGACACATCTTCAGGCAAATTATTAGCTCGCTGTTCGGAGCCTAGTGTTAACCATTCGGCATCGAAAGTGCGAATAATTTTAAAAAAATAGGTACCAAACAGCAGCCGAAAATTGATGGCTAAAATGGAAGGTTGTCGAATTTCTGGTAGTAATAGTGTTGGCCAATCTTTAAGTGTTGGCAGTCACACGCATACTAATGGTGGCGGAATTAAGCAAAGTAATTCTAATAAAATAACAAGTGACATGGACTTTAGCAAGATAACACCTAATTCTGTAAAATAACTCTTTTTTTTAGCTGTCGCATAATAATATTCGATGTGAAAGGGTCTGTAATTAAGGGAGTAATTATACTAAGCAGGGCAATTAGTGACAGTGGTAGGTTTTCGAGCGTGTTGTGGTTTATGACGAATTATAGTCCTTTTATGGGTGTCCATTGTAATATTATGAGTTTTCTCTTACTTTAAAGATCTGTTTAGATGATAGATATTTTTTTATTGTGATTGTTGAAAAAAGGAACATCAAAAAAGCATGTAAAATTAGTTCAGCTACATTCCTTCTTTAAATTCTTTAATTTTTTTTTTTTGTTCAACGAGATATCTTTGAGTATTTTTTTTGAAAGATCCATTTACGCTATATTTTAGTCATAAGTAAATCGTCATAATCTTCTAAACAACGAAGTATGACAAGTTTAAACATTACAGCAATTGTTTTCCACATTGATACCAATTTTTACCGTACTAATCTAGAACCAAGCTCAAGAAAGGTTTGTGAGTGGCGAAACCATTAAAGCAGCGTAGAACGACCCCCCTCCCTGTCCACTAGATTTAGCGACGACTTCAAATGCATTATAGGGAGTCAGTGGATGCAGGTGACTCAAGACCGTTCTTTATGGCAGTCTATAGGGGAGGCTTCCATTCAGCAGTGAATGGATAATAGCTGATATAAATCTAGTATCAAACGAGAATTTAACCTCAAATCTTATAACGTATATTAACAATGTCATTACAATACATCAAAGAAACACAAACAAAAATAAACCTGAAGAGAGAAATATCACGATAATCAATAAAATCTGATGTAGAATTAGATTACATTTATTTCAATCATTTTTGTATTCATAACATGTCCAGACTTCAGAAAACCTTAGCTTTGAAAATTGAACGTTAAGTCAACGCGTTATGGTATATTTTAGTAATGTTTGTATGATAAACATCGGATGTATAAAAATATACAAACCGTTTTAAACAAAGCAAATATTACATATACAAATTTAAAATAAAATCTAAAATTGTACATGGATAACGTTTTGAAACCGATCGTGTGGTTAAATAAAAAAAATATTTTACATTAAAAATAATACAATAAACTACAAATATTTTAAGTTCTGTTAACATTATAAATGTGAAAGTAAAAGTAATAACATTTATATGTTTGTTACTCGATCACGCACAAACGGCTGAACAAACTTGAATAAAATTTAGTACACGCGTCTGT